TCTGTAATCTGTAATGGAATACATTTTAAAAGTAACCTTCCCAACACTGCTAACATGCCAATAGTTATACATATTTACAGATATATATACATATACAGACTTATACACACATCCTTGTGCTTTACAAAAATCATATTTTTCAACCACTTTTTAAGCAGAGTGATTCTGGGACGTTGCTTCGGTGCATCACTCAGCGTGTTTCACAGCCTCAGTTCACACACAGAGGAAAAAACCTTTCTGCTGTTGCACAGATACAGGGATGTCTCAAATGTAGAATATTGGGTTTGTATCCAGTATTATGCATTATCATTATGATGTTCGTTTTGTTAACTTTGGCCCCATTAGAGTAAACAAGCATGATAAAGCAGGGTATCCTGTAGCATTTATGGGGGAAAATACACTGTAAATGACCATAAGCTTTTCAGAATAAAAGCACAGCTGTTGAAGACGCATAAAAGACTGTTCAGTCAGTGTTTATTTCCACTGCATGAAAAGTATAAATATGATCCATCCCAGATGTAAATACACTTTAATCTCTATTTTATCTTATATTGCCTCATTCAAGCTGTTGCTGCCAGAACACTTCATTAATTGTGCGTGTAGGTGTTCTTCCTCAGGAGGCTGAGGCGAGAGATGAGTCATGGTGCTATAAAAACAGGCCTGACACACATAATCAAACACACTCTCAGCCCACTACTGTACATCACATTTCATAATATTATTCCTACCGTGGTTACACAACATGAATTATATTCTGGGAAATGGTCCAAATGTATTTTGCTCCCCTACGACAGTGAAAACTGAAAAATGATCAGTAACAGGGCAGATTATGACACTCTCCACAAACATTTCCCTTTCAGTTGTTATTGTTTTAGATACTCTTTGTTTATAGGAAATTTAAAAAACTGCATGTTTTATGAACAGTCCAGCATTTTAATCTGAGTTTAGCCTGTTTTGTCCGACCATAATCAGAGATTAAACTGAGCTGATTGTCTTTTTTCATACAGACTGCGAGAAGGCAAACGGGATTTCCCCAAATCCCCCCATAAAAATGATCTTACTCAAATATACGGAGGCCCTAAAGTGCCAATCAAATACCTAATGAATAAAAAAAAACAGAAAAGGATGTGAATTTTGGTGCATAAACCCAGCAACACATGATGGTGGCAGAATTACAACACATGTTATTAAATGCAGCAAGATGAACATTAACTATAAGTTACTGCATTAATTTTCCTATTTATTTACTTTGGTGTTTTTCTATTTGACCCCATTCATTTATTTGATTTTCTATTCTAAGTAACAAAACACAATAAATACACTATAAATAATATAATACTTTAAATATCTAGTGGTAGTGTCTGTTCTTATCAGACACATTTCACTGTGTGTTGTACTTGTATGACTTTGCATGTGACAAATAAAGGATCTTGAGTCTATATAATATTCCACCTTCCACTTAGTAAAAAAAATTACTTTCTGTTAAAAATATCTTATATATCTTCTCTTTATAATTTTGCTGAACTGAATAAACAAAGGAATAAGTGGTGGAATGAAGAGAAAATATTAATACATAAATAAATAAGTGGTATGGTGTTATTTATGCATTCATATATTTGTTTATATCATTTTTTACTCTTTAACCTAATTTCGTTCATATTCATTTTCCTATCGATTTATTTTTCATACTGCAGTCTGCACGCACTGAAAAGAATACAGAAGTATAGCGTTTATGCTTGTATTTATTTCTCGTCCTTCTTTCCCCTCTGCTTGTTTCCTCGGTTATTTTTCTGTTTTTCTCACTGACGGGGCGCAGCTTTGATTTGATCCAGTTTATCCCACGTGATGAGAATTTTCTGCCTTTGTTCTGTTTACACTCGCAGAGAAATGAATCATCTTTGTTGTGCACATTCTCCCTCAGCGCCATCTGCGCGGCGTTGACAGCACGCTTTGATGGGTATTTCCATTGTCCAATGGAAGCCGCGGCTCGTGTCGGCGCGGACCCAATGGGCGGAGCGATGTTGTAGGTGGGCGGGGACAGCAGAGAGCACGGATCTGTCAGCGCTGAACTCGGTCAGTCGTCGCTGTATCCGCCGAGCAGCACTGAGGGGCTTCATGTGTGGTTATGACTGAGGATAATGGAGAAAAATGGAAACAGCACGGACTGAGATCACTCACAGAGATTTGGACTGGACGTAGATGCTCCGCGGCCTTTTGATTTCGCCACAGATGTGGGAATTTTCTGGATTACAGTGAAGTTACTGGAATCTTTGTCATCTCGGTTTGAAGAAAGCAATCCAGGCGGCCTGAAATCACTCAGACTCCAGCTGAAGCCCAGCCGCGGTTAGCTGCCTGTTACAAAGCAATATCGTTGTTTTATTCTGTAGAAAGTTATTCAATAAGCTAAACCTGTGCATGGCTAAAATTAGCGCGTTGGTGTCGTTACATGATTACTGTTTTAGCAGTCTGGCATAGCAGCAGCAGGGATAATAGCTAAGCTAGCTAGCGGGGCTGGGGCTAGCCTGTTGTTAGCCGGAAAGCTGCGCTGAAATGACAACAAAAAGACACCTTCCAGGTTTGGGAGTTTGATGTGTCACAAAAAAGATCTGCTTTAAAAATAAGCAACAGCTGCTAGACTTAGTTTAAAGTAAGTGCAGACAGTAATCATATTTTCTTGCAACTACAACAATCATCCCACAGTTGCAGTTACACTTTAAATATGTGCTTTAATCTTTAATCTCGCAAAGAAAAGTCTTTTGTTCTTTTTTTAACATAATTTTAAGTTGTCAGTGCCAGTTTTTCCTCCCACCCAAAACTATTATTGCTCTTATCTTTAACAATGTTTTACTTTCCACAACCACATTTTTGGCAGCCAAACAGGACATTCCTCTGAGACTGTGACCCCCTTTTTCCTATTTTTTTCTTTGCCTGAAATTAAACTACCTACAGTTTAGAAGACTGTTAACAGGCAAAACAAAGACTCCCAGACCCGCATGCGGGACATTCATGGCATAACAGACTTTGTATCAGGGAATAGCAACGCGTAAGGGTGCTGTTTGGTTTCCCCTTCAGCTTCTTGGAGACTACTCCCTCGACCTCCATGTGAGACAGGATGGGCAGCCAGGGCAGCCCAGTGAAAAGCTACGACTACCTGCTGAAGTTCCTCCTGGTAGGAGACAGCGACGTGGGCAAAGGCGAGATCCTGGACAGCCTGCAGGATGGATCTGCAGAGTCCCCTTACGCTTACAGTAGTGGTGAGTCACTCCCACCTCAGCTGATCGGGCTCCTGCTGGCTCATCACTGAAGTCCTGAACATACAAGCTGCGCACGCCGCCACCGCTGCTGCTGTGGAGAGCGTACAATGACACATTCACATACACTGAACTTCACAACACAGCAGTGAGTCAGGCGGTCATGGATGTGTGTGTGCATTGTTGTTGCACATAGTGGATAAACAATGCTTTCTCTGATGTCAGTGTAAAAACAGGTTATTATTCAGTGAGCGTAGTTCCTCTTCTTATTCCTAAACACCTTCAGCGGCGGCCAACTATGGGGGGGGAAAACAGAGCCGGTCGTGTTTTAGTTTAACAACATCAGCTGTTTTTGAGCTGCTATGGAGGTCAGAAGGTCTCACCTTCAGTGTAGGAGTTCAGTGAGGTGTAACTGAAATAAATGTCTCTCTAATAGATCTCTGATCAACTAACTGCAGCTCCAGAAGTGTGAAACAGACTAAACACGAACATTTTTATGACTCATTCATCACCAACAGCATACATGCAAATTCCCGACACAGTGGGGAGCATTTTCAGCTGGAACTTTGCTGCACAGCTTCATCCGATGGCATTAGTAAAATATAACTGAACAGGTTTCGTGTATAAAATGTATGTATAGAGCATACTGTCAGACGAGTCGGTGGAAAACAGGAGTCTTTAAACAGAAACTCACAGAATGTAACCTGGGATGAAGTTAAGGTCATGACAGTGGCGCCTGTTATACTCTCCTTTTTCATCCTTGTCACTGCCACAAGGCACACTTTGGTGTCATTTTGGCCATTCGTGCACCTTTTATGTTTTGTACCCTTCGACACATGCTTCGTGTGGTGAAGACAGGCATGTCATATTTCATAACAGAAGCACGGATCATACAGAGGTGGACGTTGCAATAGA